TATAAAATATTAAAATACAGAGATATAAATCAAAAGCTCAAAACCGATTTCAAATATATAAAATCAAAATATTTAAATAGATAAAATAAAATTAAATATCTAAAGAATGAATAAAAAAAAGGCGAACAACGTTGTTTATTACTAAAAGAACCATTTATTTAAAATATTTTAAAAATAATTGTATAAAAAGTATGTGCATTGAAATATATATAACTTGTAAATAAATAAATCTTATGCTAAATATATATACTTAAAATTATTTTTATCTTAGAGAAATTATAGTGTAATAACGAATTGTCAAAATGTTTCTTTAGCACGAAAAATTGGCATAAACCTCCGTGTAACTTATATATAATAACTTTATATAAAGTTTTATGTCTATTTTTTATGTTAAAATTTTTGTTTATACTAAGCTTTAGATATGAAAAACACCTAACCGTCCAAATAACTTGTTTTTATGTAGGGTATTATAAATATAAGGTAGTGGTCCCTAATTTTTTTTTTGACTAAGGACTACTATAATATTTTATTTCTTAGTAGGAACCATAAAGTTTAAGAATATGAATGAATTGTATAAATGCATAGGTGCATTATATATTCTATAAAATTGGAAAATAATTGTACTTAAAAATTTTTTGTGCGATCTCCTAGAATCTCCTAACCTAGAAGTTCATAGGGTAAGCTCAGAATATTATCTAGACATTCTATATGGAATCAAGACCAGTATTCGACTGACAATAAATGATATATAGAAAATACCGAAACATTTTTCAAAGCGTTCATCTGTGTCTCTGCGACTCTTTGAATATCGAGCATATTGAGAGCTATGTAGTTAGTTTTGGTCGCACAATAATAGACTATCACAGAAAGTTAGCATGTTCTTGACTAAAAAGGCAATCATTCTTATCAATCATTCATGTTAGATATTCTTTATTCTCTAAACTAAAATTGAAGTTGAAAGAAAATGATTTTGATTTCATCCCGTTTTCCAAAATATTTTGATCGATTTATTATAGGTTACTTCAACCAGTGAGTATGAAAAATGTTTAAAAAAATTCGAGCCATTTGTAACGCTATTTAAACGTATAAGGAGTCAGATAAACCTGTGAAACTACTATTCCTTTTAAAACTTTTTTTGAATCTAAGGTTTGAACTCTGAATCTGAATCTGCACTTTCCTTAAGACGTTCTTGTGAATTGATTGTTTAATTATTATTGTGAGAGTATGATGTACCATTAATTGATAAACAAATATGCAATCATATTTAAAGTGCTAAAAGATTCAGGAATTTAGAATCACTGCTCAAAACCATATGCAAAGTTTTACTTGTCCCAAATTTTGCGAAGATATCTTAGTTAATTCATGTTGCGAAAAATGAAATTGTTTAATCTATAATTATAAGTGAAGTCAAATTTTGATATCTTTTTATTAGAAATAGTTTCCTTCAATATGCTACAATCAATTCGATATAGTTTCCGAAAAAACTAATCTCAAACAATTTTCTAACTATATTTTATATATTGTTCGTTTAAAATAGTTTCGTTCCGAATCAATGTCCAGTGAATTTTGCAATACTTCTTTTTTTACACTCATTAGCTCGAAGTGTTCTTACTTTACATTATGTTTTCTAAGCTACATGAAAATAAAACAACTTACCTCACTAGTGTCACAGTGAATTTTAATTTGACCTCTTTGTGACACTAATGAGGTGACTTCACAATTCGACTTCTATACACCTAAGAAAACATTCAATAAATTAAATAATTTCATAAAAAACTGTTGTTACAATTTTTGGTCTCTTCATGATCCGGTGTCTACGGATCATGGACAGACTGTATATATCTCTGTCTGCAGAACCGCCAGTTCTTCCAATATTCAAACTATAATAAAGTCATATTTAAGGTGAAGATTCGAAATGCATAAATTAAAATTAATAAACAATTAATAGATATTGTTGCTTTTATTAATTAAAGTCAATATAATCGTACATTTCTGTTTACGAGTACTTGTAGTGACGTTTTGTGCTAACAAAATTATAAATTCTAACCGAAATTCATGAAATTCTCTATCTTTAGATACTCAGCAGTGTGTTTTGTATTGTTTTGCTATCGTATAAATTGTTAATTTCACATAAATTAGCGGCAGTGTCATCAAGCGAATGAAATTGTGTCGATTCATATATAGGCCCACAGCGTTGTGGCTTCCACGCATTATTTAATATATTTAGACTGACTTATCTCTAGAAACAGAAATCGCTTAATCTGAGCAAAATCGCAGCTCTCAAGTGCGCCAACAGTAAACGCGCGGCACGTCTGAGTCTTATCTCTCATTTGTTGTATGTACATACAAACGATTACCATATCAAACTAACCAGTGAGATATGTTTGTGTCGTATCTACACACAAGTATTTAATAAAACTTGATTCGCAGCAAATAAACAATTTAGTGAAATACTCAGTGAGAATCGAACAACATGAATACCGCGCGAATAAATCGCTTGACGCTGCTGGGCGTTGCGTTGTTGTTTTGTGCGTTTCAGATACAAAATGTAAATAGTATCAATATTCTGGGCTTGTATACGAGCCACAGTCCCTCGCATTTGATAGTGCACATGTCCGTGGCGAAGGCTTTGGCTGAGAAGGGACACAATGTCACAGTCGTATCATCATTGGAACCAAAAGTCACACACAAAAATATCAATCACATCGTAATACCGGCTCCCAAAGAGGGTATGGAAGCACTTGACAAGATGATGTCGGAAATAGCAAAAAAGAAAAATTCGATATTTTCCACTGTGAGAGACCTACTTGGCTCAATGAGTATAATGTTAGAGTTACAATTTGACGCGATGAAGGATAAACGCTTCACAGCCTTGTACGAAAATCCAGATAACAAATTCGACGTTGTCATATTAGGTTTCTTTATGAATGATTTTCAATTGGGTGTGGCAGCTAGATTTAAAGCACCCATTATTGTTGAGTGGACTGCAGCCAGTAATGATCTTATCGATAGGTATGTTGGAAATCCACCAGAAATCTCATATGTGTCCAGTATGAGTGCAACCACAACGCCAGGTGTGCCGATGACATTCCTGCAGAGATTAAAAAACGTATTTGAGAGAATATTTTTCCGTGGTGTAGAGTTAATTATCAACAATCTGATGAGACGATATTACAGGTAAGTGTCGGGGAGACATAAATAATTCATTGGATAAGGTCTTTAACAATATGAATACTTGATATAGAGATTTATACCCACGTGAAAATTTCCCAACATATGATGAGATGAAGAAGAATGTATCGATGATATTTACCAACAGTCATTTCAGCGAAGGATTGATTAGACCAAATGTGCCAGCAGTCGTCGAAATGGGTGGCATACAAATCAAAGATAAGCCCGATCCATTACCAAAGGTACGTATTGCGTTATTTATACTGTAATCGTATCAAGTACTTAACAAACAGCGCTAATGCAACTTAATTGATTGCATAAAACTATCGACTTTTTTATTGTATCGAAATTATTTACAATTTTGATTCTAGAAAACACAAAACACTAAAATAGGTGCTAAAAGCAGTAATTTTGTATTTAATTAAGGGTGCAGTTTTTAATATTAAAATATTTAAATTAGAGTACAAGTAATTAAATGGGAACGGCAGTGTTTGTAAGATACCCTACGCTCAGTCTTATTACTTTTCATATATCTGTTTCAATTATAATTATTTGTATTTTAGTATTATTCTATGCTTACATATTCTTATTATTATTACTTATAATAATAAAGATAGTTCAGGCGATATATTAGAGACGAAGTACCAGTTCAATTTGCCTAATGCCTACTTGCACTGTTGCATATTATTGGAAAATGTTCAGTATGAAGTATTTGTTTTTTTGTCCGCTTTACTGCATACAAAGAAATTTATTATGCAGTTTTTTCTGCCTGAAACATACCATACTAGTCGGAAAGTTTACAAAACTCTCTAGACATAAGAGAGCTTTCACAACTCTCTAGACATAAGAGAGTTCACACAACTCTCTAGACATAAGAGAGTTTACACAACTCTCTAGACATGAGAAAGTTTACACAACTCTCTTATATCTAGTTCGGCACAGTTAACTGCAGAACATACTCACAAATATTGCAAGTATGAATTTAATAGTGACCAACTATTCCTATTTTGCACCATACCTTTCAATTCGGTTAATGATTTGCTTGTGATGGTCAATTAACTCTCATAGCCAATAATTCTTGATAATCGAAATTTATGATTTGTTTCTCCATGTGACTCGATTTGGCTCTCGAAGACAGTTATTGGTCATTGATCACAATGGACTTTAAAGTTGCCTGGAGAAGGCAAGCTACCTTAATTATTTTTTTCAAGTTAATTGACTGCTCAGTTATCAAAGCCAGCTTGAAAACTACAAACATTGACAACTTAAGTCAAATATATTATTATTAAACATTAAACCCTGCCGTGTGAGTTGCAAATTATATTCGCAAATGCGCATCTCTATATACATATTTCTATATGTCTACATCCGTGGTTCCCAATCTTTTTTTGACAAATGATCACTATAATATTTTTGTTTTTTGTACGGACCATAAAGTTTAAGAATAATAAACTAATAAAATAACAAATAAAATAAAATAATAATAAATAAATAAAATAAATAATAGAGGAGTTTCGAACAGTAGTAAGCTACAACAACAAAAATTATTTTTATATAATTTTAATTAATTGGGTTTTTGGCTGACCATACACTGTTTTGAGTATTGCCAAATACTCATCATCAGTGGAAATATTTCTTGTATTTATTTATTCGTAAATAATTTTCATTTTTTTTTTGAGACTGCCAGTACCAGGGATTGAAGTCATGCCCGCCAAATTTAAAGCACAGAGCTACAACAAAATAGCTCACTACTGTTCGAAACTTCTCTATTAAATACCACAGTTTCTATTAAAGTAAAAATAGACACTTCTATCATATTGACGTTATGTAGCCTAATAATGTATTTGTATAATGTATAATATATTTTCTAATAAATGAGATCTCAGTGGACAAACTATAAACTATGTAAACATAACGCGGACCATCAATTGGGAGCCACTGACCTACATCTATATATAACAATAGCAATAAAAGAATAATAACAAGAAAGTTATTATTTTTATAAGAAAGTACCAGCTGTAAAAGACAGAAAAAAGTCGAATAAAAGTTTTCTATAGAAAACCTTCCGTATAACATTTTCAATACCCTCATTGACATTGAAAATATATTTACCAATGCTATCAATTATATCTCAATTTCTAATTAAAGCTACTTAGCAACTGCACCGTCATCATCTACTAACTTTATAGAGCTTTTGAGAATAATTTTATTAGTTCCTTACCTACATAACATAAACATTATTAAGTACGTATACCACTTAACTATATTTTAACTTACGTGTCCAGTTAATGATGTACTTTGTACATTTTTATTGATAACATATATAATATCACAGGGTAAAATTAGTTCTAATCAATGTTGAGTTATAACATTGTAAAATATTCAATAATAATCTGTGATATGATAAAGTTCAATTAATGGAGTTCTCTAAAAGTAATCATATTCTTATATAAACGTATGTATGTATGTATAAATATTTGAGCTTATATTTACGATTGGTAGTTTTTATAGAACTGATACTGTTAATACTCAAATAAAATTAAATATGTTTACTCTATTATGTACATTTACATTCTCAATATCTGTGACAGTTCTTTTACATTTTTTAAACAGAGATAATGATATCATATAATTTCATAAAATAGGAAAAGTACTTTTTAGAATTTATTATATATATTTATTCATATATTCATAAATTCCCACTGTTACGTATATGATTTAATTGGTATAGCTTTTCTATACCAATCTATTTTAAACGTTATTTAAACGCTGTTTACAATAGATACCATTCAGTAATCCTGAATCAGATTAACTTCAAAAACAATATAAAAATGAAGAGAATAGTTTAGATATATCTGTAGAATAGTTTACGATGCTAAATATATCGCCAATTATCTATTAATAGATAGATAAAAATATCTATCTTTTGAAAAGTAGAAACATGAGACAGAGAGTTAAGAAAATTAAATGTAAAGAAAAAGTTGTGCTGTAGTATATTTATATTGCTTAGGTTTATCGATTTGATTGAAACTAGTTTCTATAATTTTTAAAAAATTTCTAAGCTGCAAAATTTCTAAAATGTTCAATATATCATAACGTTATATATGGTATATGGCATCACTATTGTAACTTAATCTTCTAATAAAATTTTTCGCAACTAGACCAAATATTATATTAAGAACATAAACAAGTATATAGACTTTTCAATTTGGTGTCCCTTTATTTGGCTGGAAAGTTGCACGTTCCCGAAAAGACGCTGGTCATGCACTAGATGTTTAAAACTTCGTCCTGTAAGGGTATTCTTTACGCCTAACGTACGGACGTTGTCTCATCTGTGGCTTCCCATTGGACCATTATATGTGCTTAACTGAACTGGAGTGCACAAGACTGCCACTTCAAATTTATCTTTCCCCATTTTCTGTTCGCAATAGATTTCTTGTAATAGGACACAAAAATTTTAATTTAACGTTAGACTTGAAGATTTCAATGAATTTCTTGAAGTCATATTATTTAAATCTGAAAAAATAACACAATGTAATTTATATAGGTTTGACTTATGTTTTTATTAGTTTAATTTTTGTTCATGAATCAATATCGGGATCTTAGAATACCGCATATTAACACTGTATTTACACGAGAGTTTTGTTTGTAATTTCAGCTGTCATGTTTGTAATTTTACATGTCATATATTGTTGGTTTCAAGCCAAAATGAAACGTATAAGTAAGCCAGAGTTCAATTCCTTAACTTACTGTCCAAGGGTTATGTACGAACAATATAATAAATATAATAAATTTCAATATATTATAATATATAACAATATAAATTTTATTGATTATCTACAAATTTTTTATTATTACTTACAGGACATTGATGATCTCATGAATGCATCAAAAGAAAATGGCGCCATACTTTTCAGTTTGGGTTCAAATTTAAAGAGCGACTTTATCAATCCTAATACTAATAAAATCATATATAATGTATTATCGAAACTTAAGCAAAATGTCATCTGGAAATGGGAAGACTTAGATAATACTCCCGGCAAAGCATCGAATATAATTTATAAGAAATGGTTACCACAGGATGACATTTTAGCCCATCCTAACTTAAAACTGTTTATAACACATGCCGGTAAAGGTGGCATTGCAGAGGCACAATATCATGGTGTACCTATGGTAGCCCTTCCATGTTTCGCTGATCAATCGAAAAATGCTGAATATATGGAACAGTCTGGTTATGGAGTACAATTAGATATGCTGTCACTAACGGAAGAAGCCTTGACAAAAGCACTGCAAGAAGTTCTCTCAAATCCAATTTACAAAAAGAATATAAACAAGTTCTCTGAATTATATCGCGATCGCCCAATGTCTGCTAAACAGAGCGTTGTATATTGGACCGAATATGTAGCACGTCATCATGGTGCCGTACATATGCAGAGTCCACTGGTACATTTGAATACTATACAGTATCTTGCATTAGATGTATTTGCAGTTATATTTATCGCCCTCTACATTGTTTGGAGAATCATTAAATTGGGCTTTTGCTTTATATGCAAAAAGGCCTGTAATGCACTACAATGCAAGAAGAAGGACGAAGCCAAAAACAAAAATAAGAATAAGAAAGTTAAAAAACAATAATTAATAATTAATTAAATAATTTAGATAATTAAGACTGTGAAATGTAAAAATTAAACAATATTTTTAAGGAAGTTGTTACAATGTTATGTTTTTAATAAAATAGAGTAAAAATTATAATAATTTTGCATTTAGTTCAAATTTTTGTTTTTTATTCTACTTGTTAAGAATAAAATAGGTCATTTGAATTATTATTTGATATTATAGTACTACTCAATGTAAATAGATTTATCAAAAAAAAATATATGTACCA